AGGGCGGTACTCCAAGAGAACTATCAAAGTCAAGTGGTGGCTCGGCAGAAGTTCGGGTCTCAAGTTGTGGTCCAGTAGAATTTCGGGTCTTAGGTGGCTGGTCCGACAGAAGTCCGGGACTCATGTGGTAGTCCAGCAGAACTTCGAGCGTCAGGTGGTATCCTGGTGGAGCTCGGGGCCTCAAGTGGTGGTCCGACGGAAGTCCGGACCTCAAGTGTTAGCTTGGTGGAGCACTGGGCCTCAAGTGGTGGTCCAGCTGAAGTTCGGGCCTCAACTGGTGGTACAACAAAATTTTAGGCCTCAGTTGGGGGTTTTGTAGAAGTCTGGACCTCAGGTAATGGTCTGACAGAAGTTCAGGCCTGAGGTGGTGGTCTGGTGGAGCACAGAGCCACCAGACCACCACCTCAAGTGGTGATCTGACAAAAGTCTGGGCATCAGGTGCTGGCCTGGTGGAGCACAAGGCCTCAAGTGGTGGCCCGGCGGAGCAACGATGTCAGGTGATGGTTCGGTAGAGGTGAGGATTTCAGGTGGTGGTCCGATGGAGCAACGACGTCAGACGGTGTTTCGGCAAAGGCAAGAGCCTCAAGTGGTGGTTCGGCAGAGCAACGACGTCAGGCGGTGGTCCGGCGAAGGTGAGGGCTTCAAGCTATGGTTCGGCGGAGTAACAGCGTCAGGCGGTGGTCCGACGGAGCAACGGCGTGAGGCGGTGGTCCGACGGAGGTGATGGTCTCAAGTGGTGGTCCGGTGGAGCAACGATGTCAGGCAGTGGTCCGATGAAGGTGAGGGCCTCAAGTGGTGGTTCGACGGAAGTTCGGTGGTGGTCGAGGAGGAGCGAGGAGGCAAGAGCGATCTTCGATCTCTCTCTTGCTCTCTTGCTTGGAGCCTCCCTTTTTCAAGAGAAAGGAGGGGTCTATTTATAGATTTCTGGAGTGGCATGGCCCGTAAATAGTTGAAAGATCAAGGGTAAATGGGGAGTGGTTGGATGGACGACCGATGTTGAATCCCTTGATCGTGGACCGTTCGTTAGACATTTAAATGTCTTATTGATGTCAGAATTCTGTGATCTTGAGCTCATTGGATTCATCTTGTCGAGCTGCTCGATTCAACTATAAGGACGTTATGTTTTGAAATTGTTTGGTAATCAAAATTGTGGTTTGAACCTTCCAACAATGCTTCTAACCCTTGATTTGGATTCATTTGGGATCGAATTTGGTGTCGTTGGGTTCGTATTCTTGAGACGCTTGGTTCGACTATAAGTTTGCTGAAATTGGAGTTTGGATGGTCCCAATTTTAATTTCGAAAGTTTCCAACTTTGATTTTGCATCAAGATTCGTGCCTGATAAAGAATTTTTTTATGACATATCAATTATATAATTGATTTTCTTTAATAATAACTCTAATAGAAAAAGTTTTTAAAATCACCGATGCCAATTCAAGTTCAAATGAAAAAATTATGCTGTGAAGTCACCGGCTCAACCCTATCTACTATCAATCATGTCGATGTTGACCACAAGCTCCCATCAAGATGCTAAGTTTTTTTTTTTCTTATTTTAAATTCCAAATTTTACTAGTAAATCAAACATAAGGAAAATTTCTTAATTGAAGTCACTTAGCTTGTGAGTCCCTATGTTAGGGGACTTCAACAACAACAACAACATCAAGCATTTATCCCACTACGTGGGGTCGGCTACATGAATCCTTTTTCTCCATTGTGACCTATTAAAAGTCAAATCCTCGTTTAAATCTAATAAAGAAAGGTCATTACTAATATTTTCTAACCAAGTCTTTTTAGGTCTACCCCTACCTTTCTTAACATAAGTCAAATCTAATACCTCTACTCTCCTAACCGGGTCATCACAAGGCCGCCGTTTTATGTGACCAAACCAACTAAGGCGACTTCAAAAATACCCATACAATCAAAATTTGTTTCGCCTTGCTTGGGGCCACTGCCCCATTTGACCCCCAACATATTTCTGAAACATATGACAGTTAAGGACATGAACAAACAAGGATTGTGTCAAATTCGAGGCAATATAAAAGCTGCCCCAAATGAAACCTAAGTCTTTTTTTTTTGTTCATTATCATATGAATTCTTGAGCTCAATACAAAACTTTTTTTTTGTTTTTTAGTTATGTTTCTCTTTCATAGGAATATAATTTTTTTTTTTTGAAAACTAAAAAATTATTATTTTTAAATATTTTGAAACTAATTTAGATGACATCTCTATTACTTTAGATTATAAAAAAAAATTAATTATCATATAAATGATATGATATAATCCAAAGATTAGAACCAATTGTAAATTTTACTTTATTATTGTTGGGTCTTGGAGTATTCACGACGATAGAAAAATATGAAGTTTAACGTCTTAGCATTGTACGAAGATCGAGCACGTGTACATAAAAAAAAGTTGTAGCATTCATAAGAAACACCAGAGTTTTTACGTGAAAATCCCTGAAAAGGGGAAAAACCACGGGGACTGGCCCAGTTTGAATGAATCCACTAGTATTTGCAGTCGATTACAAATGAGGCCCTTCTCAGGGAGAAATCCTTGGCTTGATATCACAAATGTACGTCATATATAGTGCATTACATGATAGGAGTTACAATAATCAACATAGACATGTTTGTTTGGTTAGAAGGGCCATAGTTGGCACGAGACAGGGGTTTGAAAGACCGTAGTTGGCAGGAGACCGGGGTCATAAAGACCGTTGTCTGGTGATGGAGGTCGGAAGAACCATAATCGAAAGGAGACAAGGATCCGAAAGTCCTTAGTAGATAGGAGATTGGGGTTAGAAAGATCGTTGTTTGGTGATGGAGGTCGGAAGAACCATAGTCTGCAGGAGACAGTGGTCCGAAAGACCGTAGTAAAAGGGCGGTACTCCGGGAGAACTCTCGAAGTCAAGTGGTGGCTCGGCAGAAGTTCGAGTCTCAAGTTGTGGTCTGGTAGAATTTTGGGCCTTAGGTGGTGGTCCGATAGAAGTCCGAGACTCATGTGGTAGTCCGGCAGAACTTCGGGCCTCAGATAGTGCACTGGTGGAGCTCGGGGCCTCAAGTGGTGGTCCGACGGAAGTCCGGGCCTCAAGTGGTGGCATGGTGGAGCACTGGGCCTCAAGTGGTGGTCCAGCGGAAGTTCGGGCCTCAAGTGGTGGTACAACAAAACTTCAGGCCTCAGTTGGTGGTTTGGTAAAAGTCTGGACCTCAAGTAATGGTCTGGCAGAAGTTCGGGCTTCAGGTGGTGGCCTGGTGGAGCACAGAGCCTCAAGTGGTGATCTAACAAAAGTCCGGGCATCAGGTGGTGGCCTGGTGGTGCACAAGGACTCAAGTGGTGGCCTGACAGAGCAACGATGTCAGGTGATGGTCCGGCGGAGGTGAGGGCTTCAAGTAGTGGTCCGACGGAGCAACGACGTCAGACGATGTTTCGGCAGAGGCAAGAGCCTCAAGTGGTGGTTCGGCAGAGCAACGACGTCAGGCGGTGGTCCGACGAAGGTGAGAGCTTCAAGCTATGGTTCGGCGGAGCAATGGCGTCAGGCGGTGGTCCGGCGGAGGTGATGGTCTCAAGTGGTGGTCCGGTGGAGCAACGATGTCAGGTAGTGGTCCGACGAAGGTGAGGGCCTCAAGTGGTGGTCTGACGGAAGTTCGATGGTGGTCGAGGAGGAGCGAGGAGGTAAGAGCGATCTTCGATCTCTCTCTTGCTCTCTTGCTTGGATCCTCCCTTTTTCAAGATAAAGGAGGGGTCTATTTATAGATTTCTGGAGTGGCATGGCCTGTAAATAGTTGAGAGAACAAGGGTAAATGGGGAGTGGTTGGATGGACGACCGATGTTGAATCCCTTGAATGTGGACCGTTCGTTAGACATTTAAAGGTCTTAATGATGTCAGAATTCTGTGATCTTGAGCTCATTGGATTCGTCTTGTCAAGCCGCTTGATTCAACTATAAGCACGTTATGTTTTGAAACTGCTTGGTAATCAAAATTGTGGTTTGAACCTTCTGACAACGCTTCTAACCCTTGATTTGGATTCGTTTGGGCTCGGATTTGGTGTCGTTGGGTTCTTATTTTTGAGACGCTTGGTTTGACTATTAGTTTGCTGAAATTGGAGTTTGGATGGTCCCAATTTTAATTTCAGAAGTTTCCAACTTTGATTTTGCATCGAGATCCGTGCCTGATAAAGATTTTTTTTTAATGACATATCAATTATATAATTGATTTTCTTATAATAATAACTTTAATAGAAAAGTTTTTAAAATCACCGATGCCAATTCAAGTTCAAATGAAAAAAATTATGCTGTGAAGTCACCGGCTCAACCCTATCTACTATCAACCCTGTCGATGTTGACCACAAGCTCCCATCAAGATGCTAAGTTTTTTTTTCCCTTCTTATTTTAAATTCCAAATTTTACTAGTAAATCAAACATAAGGAAAATTTCTTAATTGAAGTCCCTTAGCTTGTGAGTCCCTATGTTAGAGGACTTCAATTAAGAAAATTTCTTTTAAGGGTTTAGATTGTCCACTTTTACTTAGCTTTGTTGATGGACAAGTATGAATGGGAACTCCCAACTCGATCTCTTAAGTGGGGTCCAATCAATTACGGGTCAAGATGTTTCTGGATTGGTGCCTCTTCTTGATCAGCTGCGAATCCGAGCTGATATTGGGTGGATACCCGTTCAAAAAAAATCCCTAAGCTTCTCAAAATCAAATAAGCGACGTGTCAAATGCTCACGCTTGCCATTATTACGGCCAGAATTCTCTAAAGCAAACAGTTGGCCCGTAATTCCGTCCGTCCGATCGTTTGATTGTAGCGTTTCGTCCGGCTATCCCGCATCTAACCTTTTTTGTCTTCACATTGTATTTCTATGCACGGGGACTGTACCGTGGACCAGGAAGGGTAGTTTTGTCTTTTCGTCCAAGCTGGTAGGAGGGTCACGTTCGGTGGTCTTATTTGTGGTTCGCTATCCGGTAAGAATAGAGCGCCGGTGGCTTAACCGAGGTTTGGCGAGGTTCGCTGTCCCTATATATAATGAAGAAAGGTCCGAGCCGAGCACTTTTCTTTTCACCAAGGGACAAAACGAAAGATTGAACGCGGCGGAGGGTAGGAATCCAGAGAGGAGATATTGCCTTTCTCGGACGCGAGACCTCCGCCGCCGGAGATGGGTGATTCCGGCAGCTTCGTATCCATTGATGTTGACAGGATTTCGTTCGGCGGGAAGGTATTTTGGTCGTCCTTTTGCGTTCGTTTTTTACGATGCCAGTTGTTATTTGTTAATGATTTAGAAATGGGGAGGAGGAATCCTCGCGTTCTTTTTCCTTCGATTTGTTAGTGTGGGTGTTTTGGATGACGACTCTTTAATCAGAACCCGGGATTCTGGAATAATTGTTGGGTTGGTATTGGAGATGGATTTGGTTTTTTTATTCAGAGTTTTTTGCAGTCTTTTGTTGATGGTTTCTTGATGAAATTTAAGTTTTAATTGGATGTGGTAGATTTGATTTAGCTGTTACCATTGCGCTTTGGCTATGTGGTGGAGGACAATTGAACGCCTATTTGATGGATAATGGCTTTGCGATGATTTGTTCATCGTGGTCTCTGTTTGTAACTTTTTGTAATCCATCATCTGATATTGGAATTCGGGATGTGGTAACTTTGTGTTTCTTTTACTTTTTATCTAAGGTGAACAATGATCGAATATATTTCATTATCTATGTCCATTTGAAAGTTTTAGATTTTTTTTTATGCTATAAGTTATTTTCTATTTATATGCCATTAATTATTGTCGGTGAAGTTGCTGACTGGTTCCTTGCTTATTTTGAGGGTGAACATTAGATGTTATCTTTTTCACAAAGAGAAGTCTTATTTTTGGTCATGGTATCGTGTCTGTTAAAGGCTTAAAGAAGTTATTTCTAATGATTATTATTAGTAGTTATTGAAGTTTTCAGTTGGGCTCATTTGTTTAGAAGATTATGTAACATTATTATTATTATTATTTTGAAGATTATGCAACAATGAGTGTGCACAGAATATGAATTTAGGTTTTGTTGAGGTGGCCCCAAAATCTTTATCTGTTAGTTGCTTCATATCATTTTTGGAATTTATAAGATGGGACTTTTAAAGATATTCATCTTTAGAAGAGCAAAATGAACACTCATCATATATTATAGGTTGATCTTAAAAGTACAATTGCTTGAGTATTGAAGAAGATTAACAAAGGTAAAGCAGTAAGTGATAGTGAGATACCAATGTGATTTGTAGATGATAAAAAAATTATTGTAGTTTGGTTTACAAATATATGTAACATGATCTTAAAGAGCAAGGTTTTATTTGATAATTTTGTGTTGTTTTATGTTGTTAAGTCAACATTACTCGCACTAAATGTACAGGTTAAATTTCAAGAATGCACAGGTTACTCTACTTTTCAGAAATGTGCAGGTTATTCTGCTAGTATTGCTTAAGGTTGTGAAGCCATGGAGGCGATGTAGGCTTTTTAGGTGTTAATTCATTGGATTTATCATATAAGAAAAGGTTTATAAACTAGGACATTGCTTTTTCTGTTAAACCGAGGTGACTAAAAAGAGATTATTTTAGGAGATCTATGTTAAGTGACTAGAAAATCTTCATTTGAATGTTGCTCAAATTACACCATAATGCTTTGTATGAGAACACGCTTACCCATGGCAGCACCATGCTTGCTTCATATCAAAATAGTTTGTTGCGCGCACAAATGAACTAACAGAGCAAAATTTTCTCTCCTGTTTTATTAATACTTCTTCTCTCTAATAAGCTTAATGCCCTTTTTTCCCTTTAATTAGTGCAAAAACAACTACCCATGCCTATAAATGAAAGCATTTGCATTTTTAATTAAAATTTCATGACTTACCTCTTTGACGAGTGGTCTCCTGGAATCCGACACCTTGTGTCCTTCTTTGCTTGTAAATTACCTACAATCCAAATTTCGTACTTTCTATAATTTCTACAATTCATTTTCCAAGAAGTTGAATAAATTCAATTCATCCTATTTAGCAATTTACCTCGTAACCAGATTCTCCCTCATATAACAGATAATTCCTACAATCGGCAAAATCTTCCTTAGAAACTTCTACTACTATTTGGAATTCAATAAAACAACTGAAGAAAACCAAATTAATTACCTCGATTTGTTCCATTCCTTCAATTTGCTTTTCTTCTTCTTAAACCGAAATTGTTTACGACAATTCTGCTTACAAAGCCACTCCAATACTTAGTTGATCCTAGCAACAAAATCCCACTTTTGCTTGTTGCCCACGCTGAAGCCGATCACAGTTTCTTACAGCGAACCCACAGACTGCTTCAATTCTTCATATGGCTACAGATCCTCACACCCGATTACTGCTCGCATCCGCCTTCTGTTACTAATGCCAAACAAACTTATGCTTCACATGCCAACCACCAATAATTCCCCAAACTTCTGACTATTTGCTGCTTGCATGAAATCAAACCGGAAGAACGGAAAAGGGCCCACAACTATAACTGAATTCCAAAACTCACATCCATTGCAAGAACCTATCCGGGCAATAGAATGTTACTTAATTTGATTTAATATTACTTAGTGTTACTTCTAATATTTACTTAACAGTAATTGTTAATATAAGATATAATTCCCTTAAAAAAGTAATTTCTTTACCTGAATTTTGGATATTACACTTTTTGGCTACAATACTTCTAAACTTTGCATGATATTCAAACACACCACAGTTGCCATGTTTGTTATTCTTAAATTGATCATGTAATTGGTCTTGATATTTAATGAATGGAAAATTTAATTTTCTTTACATTTCATATCAATTCAGGTTGATTTTATAAATTCAATGTCAAAATTCGTTGAAATTACTACTCACTTCAAATTAAGGAATATAAATTTGAAGCTCATGAGAATCATTGTCATAATTGTCTATAATCATAGCTTACCCTATGTTATTTATATTGCTTCATGTTAATTGATTGACCAAGTTATTATGTCTTTCTTCTTGTTGACATGATGAAATTCATGTTTGCTCAAATTGAATTTACCTCAAGTCAAATTTGTAATCTTCAATTTCAAGTTTATGCTGACTCACTCTAATTTAACTTAATATTGCTTGCATTGGCAACAAACCACTTACAAAACTGAAACAAATCTTGCCTTTTTGAAGTGCTCAATTCCTATAGAAACAATCACAAATCATTGGCTGGAAGTTCCACATCACTTTTTTGTTTGAAATTTTTGTGAGTTTCGATAGTAGATTGGTTCAACTTTCTTGTTTTGTTAACTTGAACATTTATTTTGTCCGAATCTAATCAATGTTGATTGCTTCTGTTGGTGGGCTCTATGACATAAAAAGTGGTAGTTTTTTTCCCCAGAAGGTGTTAACTGGTACCAAATCTTAATGAGGAATATGATCAAAAGAGTTTCGAGCTCTAGAGAATCATGATTTGAGGTATTTTATTCTAGCTAGGTCTTGTGAAGATACTTATGAGGCGACCAAATCCAATTGAGAATTGCAATAAAGAAGAGTACGACATGAATGAAAAAGCTCTTTATGATCAAGTTATGTGTGGGGGAATGAGGCCTTAATATAAGTCTTGGAGGAAAAAGTTATGAATGGATTTTGGCTCAAGATAAACTCTTTGTACATGGCTATGACCCCTAACAAAAATTTTATTAGAAATAAATAATATATTTAATACATATGCAAGTAGGAATATTTATTTAATCATACTTTAATGGGTTTAATTCATTATAAGAGGTTTAAGAAATGCATATGTATGGTAGATATGCGAATCAAATTTTGTTACTTTTGTTGTTCTTTAGTTAATTCTTGTAAGCATTTTTATAAAACTATATATGATAGAGATATAATTAGCTTATATTATTTTTTTCAAATTTGTTTTGTATTATGAAAGGATTGTGTATCGTAGGCTTGTAAGGGATGATATTACTCTTTTTGGGAAGCATTTTGAGAAAAAGGTAAACCTCTAACATTGGTGAAAGTAATTATCTAGGCAAGTACAATGATGCTGCTTCTAGTGCAAAAAAAAAAAAAAGACTCTCAGGGAGATTATCAAACTTCAAGGGGAATGATCATGCTAGTGTCAAAACCAGGGAGGATAGGTCTATAAAAGCTAGGATGATTGCATATTGATTAGGTATAAATCTTGGTGATACTCTTTTGATGATGGTTGAAAATAGATATAATGATTAGTGAATTTTTTTAGTCAAGCTTATTTGGATCATATATGTCTTCATAAGAAATTATTTTTCACTTATAAGCCATGTACAATTAATTGGCTATATTTATATAAGAAATAATGTGGTGCACAATACAATTGTTTTTTTTTTGCATAAGTTGATGCATGTTGGTGTGATTAAGATATTGATCACAACCAGATATATAGTAAACCTCAAGATAAATCTTATATCTTTGAGTGTTCTTAATAGAGTTGAAATTTGATTCTTAAGAGATGCTGAATTTCTTATTGATCGCAAGAGTTTATTTACTGTCATGAAAAGAAAAAAAACAAGTCGTTGGATTTTATGTTTTAAGATACAAATTTAGCAAGAGTTGTTTTAATTTCATCAGCATTTATGTTGGAGCACATGACTTGGGAAACAAAAAGAAAATTGACATCATGGATGTAGTTCAAATTTTGGAAGAAAAGATGGCAAATGTTGTGAGGAACTGAGGATGACTATTGAATTTGATTAGGTGGATATTTCTCATGTCACATGGTCTTCCCTAATGTTAGATTGAGGAGGAATTCACTTATGGAGCTTGAAGCTCTTAGTATGGACTATGGAGAGGAATCACAAAAGAGTTTCAAAATATACTACACAAACTTGAGTTAAAGACAAGATCATTAGGATGCCCCAAGTTTGCCCTTGTATATTGATTGCTCTTGTTAGGATAAGCATAAAATTCAAAATAGATAAATTTATGGTGACATATAAGTTTATTTGAACCATATTTGATTTAAATGCTCACCTCCTTAAATTCCTATATATTGATGGAGGAGAAGAGAAGTTGGTTATTTGTACGGCGTTGTGCTAGGATCTTTTTTTATTTACCTTGCGATGCCTTCTATAGGAAAATAGAAAGGAAATGCTTGGGTTGTATGATAGTGAGAGAGAGAGAGAGAGAGAGAGAGAACCCTAGGTGAGGGTGAGCTCAGTACCCACCGGTCATTAGAGAAGTCTGTGGC